AAGACTGGAGAGGCACAGAATCCAAGCTGCTTGAAGTCCAGTGAGAAGTTTCTGAAGTCAGTGATGATTTGGTATGCCGTGACGTCTGCTGGTGTTGGTCCACTGTGTTTTATCAAGTCCAAAGTCAATGCAGCCACCTACCAGGAGATTTTGGAGCACTTTATGCTTCCATCTGCTGACAAGCTTTATGGAGATGCTGATTTCCTTTTCCAGCAGGACTTTAGCACCTGCCCACACTGCCAAAACCACTTCCAAGTGCTCTGCTGACCATGATATCACTGTACTTGAATGGCCAGCCAACATGCCTGACCTGAACCCCATATGGAATCTATGGGATATTTTCAAGAGAAAGTTGAGAAACAGTGGATCCGAGCTGAAGGCTCAATAGTGCCTCAGCAGTGCCACAGGCTGATCGCTTCATGCCACGCTTCACTGATGCTGGAGTTTGTGCTAAAGGAGCCCCAACCAAGTATTGAGTGCATAAATGAACATAATTTAAAGAACTTGAACTTTTCTGTTTTGCAAATCCTTTTTTAATTGATCTTAGGAAATATTCTAATATTTTGAGATACTGGATTTTTTACTTTCATGAGCTGTAAGCTCTAATCATCAAAATTAAAACAAAAAAATATTTTGAAATGTTTTACTTTACATGTAATGAATCTAGAATATATTAAAGTATATATGAAAACTTTTTGAAATAAGTTACAAAAAAATAAACTTTTTCAGAATATTCAAATTTTTTGAGATGCTACCCAGAAGTATTCACATTTGGAAAATGAGTGATGGAAACTTAAATGCAGGTCTGACAGAAGTTTATTCTACCTGTGACACCACTTCTGTGATGTCATCAGATGCAACCAATAGGCAAGCCCAGCAGCTGTGATGTCATCAGGAACACATACCTTGATGGAGAAGGACCTCCTCATAGTTCTTTTGGGGTCCTCCTGGCCCCTCTGAGGCGGCTGGATGCTGACGCTCCTCGTCATGTATTTTTCTGAATTTCCCATGGACCCTTCCAGCGGGTCCCTGCGGTGTGTCTCCTCCAGCCCACTGTCCCAGGGCTCACGGTACCTCTCTTCTGGACTGGACGCGTCCTCATTGGTGCTGGAGCTGCAGATGATGAGCGACCGAGACAGGATGGCCAGTTTCTTGGAGCGCAGTCCTGCTTTGCCCCTCTCCATCCTCTTGGTTCTCCTCCTGTGATGCAGCTGCTGTTGGTGGGAGTTTCTTAGAGGCAGGATGGCCACAGAGGGAGGTTCTCTCCCAGGATGCATCACTGCTAATGGAGGGGGCCGCTCTGCAGACAAGAGCAATTAGACAATTCAGTTAGGAGTCCGTTCTGCCATCCTCCCGTGGCCTAAGTGTTCTCAGAAATCACAGAGGCTACAGACGCAGATAAGAGCGCTTTCTTCTCTGATCCATGATGGAGGAAAAAAGAGAAAGAATTGCCCCATGACTGTGAGAGAGTTTTTGTGTGTGTGTATTCAAAAGGAGGGAAATACACAAGTGAAATGGACTGCACAGCCACAGACATGAAAAATTAAAATAAAATTGAAATTGAAATAGAAATAAAATAGAATAGAATAAAATAAAAAATAAAATAAAAACAAATCTGTCCTTATTTACTCACCCTCATGCTGTTTTAATTCCAAATGGTAAAAAGTTGTATATAAAACAAAAATTATTTCAGTACATTTTACAAGAAAATACACTGTAAAAATAATTTTTCAAAGTTGTAAATAAAGATTACTGAAGTACTGAAGTTTAAACGAAAATACTATAAATAAATAATTTTAGTCTTTCTAACAATTTCACATTTTATTCAGTGTTGCTTGCCATTTCTTCATAATTGTTTGTGAAATGTACTATTAGTTTCTGAGTGAAAACTGTTTATACACCAAAAAAAATTTCAGTGTACTTCAAAATGTTGCATTTAATTCAGTGTTACTTGCCTTTCTTGTATTTATTTGTGAAATTTACTAGCAATTTCTGAGTGAAAATTGTTTCAAAGTAATGCTACACCATTTGCTTGTT